AGTTAAAACAAGACTTGAGCTCATATTATAGCAAAAGTGAAAGCTGTCTATGCCTGCTGAGATTAAAGCCTCTTTGAGTGATATAATGTCTTGCTTTTTTTCAAGCGATTCTTCATTTCCTGTGTTTGGATTGAGTCATGAAAGTTTTTTTTTTATTTTTTCTCCTTTTTCTTAGATTATCATTAGAAGAATCTATTGTTTTTGGAATTTCTGAAAAAAAAAATTTGAACTGATGGAACTGTACTTTTGGATTTTGATTATTTGTTTTCTTAAATCCATTATGAGGTAGTGTACTTTTATTTTGCTGCTGAAAAAACCGATTTTGGCCTGCAATTTTTAGCTAATTCAGTTCCAAAGATGATCTGAGAGTGTATTGATTCAGTTAAGATGATCTGGTACTGTTTTGATTCAGTTCAAAAAATTCAATATTGTAAAATTGAAGTTGTTCCAACGGATGGTGCAAATATTATTGTTTTATCTAGTCATATAACCAAAAATCAATTAAGTGCATTCCTTAATCACATATACCATTTGGTATATCAAAAGAATTCGCGGTGTTTTAGTTCAATCACTTATGCCAAAAGCTCTTAAGATAATGAAGTATTCCTCCAGCTTCATCATGAAACCTGATTTCGTAATAGCCTCTTTAGTGGCAGGTGGAGATTCTGAGCTTTCAATGGGACCATCAGAGATCCTATAATAGAATGTTCTAATAGAAAGAAAATAAAATCAAGTATTCTACATGCAGTGAATATATATATAATACCACGTATATCTAGTATACGATTGCATTTCATTTGCATGGAGCATCCTAACATAAAGTCAATTAGTAGCTTAAATCTTTCTTTATTAAAATTTTAAAAGATTATAGGTGGTGCATGGACTCCAACAATAACAACATCAAGTCTTTATCCCACTATGTGGGTTCGACTACATGTATTCTATTTCTCTATTGTGCACTATTAAGAGTTAAATTCTCATTTAAATCTAATAAGAAAATGATGTTTCTAATATTTTCTAACTAAGTATTTTTAGGTTTATCTATGTTTATTATCATAGGTCAAGCACTACAGGAAAAGCACTCATTACCGGCGGTTATTATAAGCATTCCGGCGGTTTTGTAAAAAACCGGCAGCTTTTCGGCGGTCCAAAAACCACTGGTAAAAACCGTGTAGAAAACTCTTTCCGATGATTTATTCCACCGGCGTCTTTCCGGCGGTTTATACCGTCGGTAGTTTCCGGCAGTCATAACGCCGGTCAACGCCGATTATTTACCGGTGGTATACCGACTAGTGCTGATTATTTACCGGTGGAATACCGACTGTTTAACTGCCGGAAAAAATTCACTTAACACCGGCGGTTTAAGCCACCGGTAATGCGCTGGTAATAAATAATACCGGTAGGCTGACCGACGGTTATTGAATCGTCGCTATTTCCGGCAGCCGTAAATTAAATAATTGTCGGTAAACACCGGCGGTTTGGACTGGCAGTTATATAACCGCAAGTAATTCATGAATTTCCTGTAGTGAAGTCTAATATATCTACTCTTGTAACCGAGTTATTGGAAAGCCGACATTTTATATGTCCAAATTATTTAAGGTAGCTCTCTCTAATCTTATGTGCCATTGAAGCTACCCCAACATTTTCACATATATACTCGACTCCAAACCAAATAAATCAGAATAATGGAGAAGGCACAACTAACACCTTAATTGTGTGGTACATTAGGAAAAAATGATGCAAGTATCCATTTCGATGTATTTTTTTTTTAGCTGGGGGGGGGAGTTGTGGTGGGTCCTAAAACCCAGTTATTGGTTTAAGGGTTAATATCCAAAAAATTGTACAAGATCCTTAAGGGGACCTCCAGCTCTCTACCGCTCGAATGAGCTACAAAAAATAACCCATGAGCTATAGTTTCCCACTAAGCAAAAGTACATGACAACCTCATGACAATCTAGGGAGGCCAGAAGCCATCCCCCAAAAGGAAAAGAAGCAGCGAAATCCTCAGCTCAATCTTTTTCCCCAAAAAAATATCCTTGCACAAAAAGAAGGAAAGTCTCCACGATCAAACCTGCCAAAACGAGTTGGACAGAAACTGATAAAACAAAGTAACATAAACATAATAGCAGTAAACACATAATTTAAGGCATTAAAGAAATAAAACACATCAATCATCTAGAATGAGAGTATTCATGCCAGCCAGTTGTTTCCTCCGAACGAAACGAAATTTCCCTGGAAAAAAAATAACCAGCTAGCATAGAGGCCAACCATTCACAATCATAATCCCACAGAGCATATTGACAGAGTCCCAGAAAAACCAAAGAGGGGAAGTAGGATAATGAAAATGAGTACAAAACTCCTCATAAAAGACAGAACTCGCAACGTAAACCTATATCTAATATTCATTTGCATGGCATGTTAACGTGCAATCAATTTGAAAATCCTTTGTTCATGTATTGCAAACTAAGCCAACTCAAACCTTCTTTTGTAGTTCAAAACGGATCAAACAATTTTCATATTTGAAATAGAAAAAACATGGAGATTGATGTTTTTTTGTTAGTTTATAGCAAAATGATGAAAAGATCTGTTGATGCATTTTATTCATTAGTTGATTTGCATGTTTTTTCCAATCTAAATTAGATCAAAATTGGAAGGAAGTGAAATTTTACAGGCAGTTTATATTAATAAGCAATTTTGATCTTATTCTCTTGTCATGTTGATGATGAGATGACCACATCAAATGAAAATGGTACTTTTACCGCGTGGCTAGATATGATTAATAGCTCGAGATTCACATATATTGGAAGTCAATTTCCCTTTGAATTTTACTTTTTGGATTAATGGTGTTTGTCAGCTGTGTTGATATTGGATATCTTTCTAAATCTTACACTAAATTTCTTTGTTTATATTGGTTTGTGGTTGTGGCAAAATTAATGGTTAAGGCTTATTGGTTTTTTTTTACTTACGTTTGTTGATCTGAGCTTCCTCACCTCTACAATACTTAACTTAATTTTATGCCTCTCTTTTAATGGCCAACATTCTGAGCCATAAATCATTGCAGATCTCATCACCATCTTATAAAATTTTCCTTTAAATTTGATGGGTACTTTATATCACCCAATAGGCTTGATGCATTCCTCCAATTTAATCAACTAGCTTGAATTATACTAATAATATCCCAATCTATTTCGCCATCCTTTTGAACAATAGACTCGATATACCTAAAAGGTGCACTCTTTTATTGACTTGATCACTCAATGTCACAATCTCACAACTATATTTATTCCTACTAAAATTATACTCTATGTATTCTATTTTAAATCTACTCAAACGAAAATCTTTAGATCTAAGATTGACCTCCATAATTCAAGTTTTCTTCCAACTCTATCTCAAATTTTATCGGAAGAAGAATATCTTCAGCAAAAAGGAGATACTAGGGTACATCCTCTTCCAAATGGCTAGTAAGAATATCAATGACTAAAGCAAAAAAATATATGAGTTTAAAGTTGATCTTTGATGTAATCCAACTAAAATAGAAAGATGTTTGGTCAAACCATTTTGTGTTTGGACACAAGCAACAACTCCTTCCTATATATATTTTTAATGATTTGAATATAAACTTTATTAGCTATTTTCTTTTCTAAAACTCTCTAGAGCACTTCTCTTGAAACTTTATTATATGCTTTCTCAAAATTAGTAAATATTAAATGTAGATCATCCTTACTCTCTTTATACTTCACCATCATCGAATCTAACCTCTAATGTATAACATCCATAGTAGGTCTGCCTGACATGAATCCAAATTGATTTTGAGAAATATTATATCACGTTATAACCTATGCTAAATTATACTAACCAATAATTTTAATGTATGACATATTAACTTAATTCTTATATAATTCCCACACTTTTGTGCATAACTTTATTCATAGAAATAAGAACCAACATATTCCTTTTACACTAATCTGACATCTTTTTACTCTTTAAAATAATATTAAAAAATTTAGTAAGCCAAATAATACATTGACCTCCTAAGCATTTTCATACTTTTATTGAAATATCATCAAGTTCCACATTTTTTTAGAGCCTCTCCAACTTCCATTTTATTAAATACGATGGTAAAAATAAGAATCTTTTTTTTTTTGTATTTATGATGTCAAGTTCATTAGAGACAAGCAAATAAACAAAATTGATTTGTTTAACAAGTCAAGTTGAACAATCTTTGAGCTCACCCAGATTTGACTCGTTTACACCCCTACTGGGATCTAGCCAAAGTGAAGCCATTAGTGATTGGTAATCAACCATCCCCATCACTTTTTCCTTGCATATTTTGAATAGGGAAGAATGGCCACCTCTTAAACCACAATATAATGGACTCCAGTTACAATTATTGTGCCCATCCCCAACCCTACTCTAAGCTAGAAGACATAATCCACTATGCACAACCGACCAATAGTAGAAGAGACGACGATAGGTGGTATGAATTAATAGCACATTTACATAAATAGCACTCAAAGGGGCTATTTGGTGGCAGGATTTGAGGCGGATTTGAGCGAAATCCAGCCAAACGGCCTAAAATGCAAAATCAATTCTCACGGCAAACGAAATCCTCCATAGACAAAAAAAATCCGTCGATTCACTCTAAATCCGGGATTTCCAAAATCCTGTATTTTGCAGGATTTACGAAATCCATGATGCTAGAAGAAGAATCTGCTCAGTAAATCCTGCTCTGTAGCCAAACAGTCACATGACATTTAAGAGGATTTATCATGAATGTTACCAAACAGTTTTTAAGATTTCCGAAATCCGAATTTAAAGGATTTACGAAATCCTACTTAAATCAAATCCAAAATGATACCAAAGAGCCCCAAAACATTAACATTATCATAGTTATAGCTAAACTTCTATATTTACATGCATAGCACACAAAACATCAAAATAAAATAAAATAAAATAAGATCATTAATAATAACCCGAAGCATAGTACACGAAACATCAAATAAAATAAAATAAAATAAGATCATTAATAATAACCCGAAGATCATTTATTCTGAAGGAATAAACAGCCACAAAGGATTTCTAAACCAGCTGACAAACACCCATATATATCAGGACCTCCCTGAAATCACACAATCATTAAACTACACGATGAGAACAAATTGAAAAAAATGAACAAGCCATCCCCATAATCATCCAACTAATCTTGCTTTGGAGCATTAAGCTTATCCTTCTCTCCACCATGGAGCTCGTGAACAATTTCCACCGGCCTCTTCTCCGTAATCTCTCCATCCGCCGCAGCCGCCGGCGACCTGTAATCAACCGTCTCAATCACCTTCTCATTCGGCCGCTTTTCTCCACTCTGATCTGCTCCGGCCGCTGCAGTTTTGCTCTCCTCCTGTCGTTCAATCACAAAATTAATCGTCAGTGTTGGGCTTTCAGTCAAATGAGATTTGAATCGTTTGGTCATATTACCTTTGTGGTTGACATTGTTATGTGGAATTTGAAACAGAGAGAGTTACCGAGATCGCAGTTGCAGGCTTTGCGCTTTGTTAGTTAGTGATGATGCGATGAAGATAAGGGGGTAGAAGAATTATATATTAGGATGACAAAAAATGCCTTGTATTTACGTGGTTGCGTTTGCGCGGTAAACGTGGATGGATATGATTGTTTATTGGAGAATTCTTATCTTGCTGTGGCAGCAAGGTGCCCGTGGCAACTATCCGTTGTTCATATTTGATGATTGACACGTGTTAGAGGCTTTTATTTAACTACTTCGATAAATCTAAATCTTCCCAAATTTTTTTCCTAATCAGGAACACAGTTTCAGGGAAATTTGCCTTATGAAATACAAAACAGATGGGAGCTACGGCAATTTTCCTCATCACTGGCAAGTTTTCAGGCCCTCATGTAATGCAAGCCAAGTGCAAGAAGAATACCTCAAAGCAGACGCACCTCAAGTGTAGGAAGAATACTCAGGTAAGGAGTGATGGTTGCACCAGGGTTCCCAATACATAGAGAAATTATAGCCAGAGGAAGGAACATGAAGGGAAATGATACACTTAATCTTGACAGCCACAGAGCAGATAAATTTTCGAAATTTAAAAGCTTTTGAAGCAGGTGGTTTTCAAGGAAAGTAATATTTGTAATTAAACCGATCAACCTGCAAAGAGTTTTGTGAAATCAATCGCCAAATAAGAGAGCATCCTAACCTAAAGTAGAGAGATTGTATGCTAGCTAGGCAAGCCCAAGCTAACAAATTTTTGGGGCAGCAGGTGTTGTCAGGTTATAAGATGAAGTTTTTTCCCTCCATGGTACCATGAAATAAAAATGGGGAACAGAGGCAGCCAATAATTTTGCAGCAAAATTTGAGTATAATTGATCAACCTCTAATTCTGTAAGCAATTGTGTTAAAAATGTAAACCTCAAGAATTGAATTCTCGCTACAAAAGATAAAATTTAATTTTCTAGCCAGCAAGTAGAGTAGAAATCCTACTCAGTAGTGGTTCAAAGTGAGTGGCTGAATTTTTTTTTAATATAGGCAAGCCTAAATATTTAAGCACGGAGTTGGCTTGAGAGATGCCAACAATATGGCAAATGGCAGGGGCAGCAGGGGAGTTAGAAGAGAAGAGGATGGAGCTTTTTGTTTGATTTATATGAAGCCCAGAGGCAGCTGCAAACTTAGTTTAGAGGAAGCATTTTGGGTTGTAGCATTGAAAAGCACAAGCAAGTCATCAGCATGTAATAGGTGACTTATGCTTTTTTCCATTGAAAGAAATACTCGAGAAGGGGTTAGCCTAGTTAGGAGCTTCCAAACAATAAGAAAGATCATCCATCACAATACAAAAGAGTAAGGGGGATAAGGGGTAACCTTACCTCAAACTAGAAGTAGAACAAAAGAAACCTTCAAGAGTCCCATTAATGCATATAAAAAAATACACATTACATGAAAACCTTTCTACTCCAATCTAGAGAACAGAAAGTCATGAGATACAGTGTCAAAAACTTTGGAAACATCAAGCTTAGCACAAAAATAATTCATATTAGTAGTAATATTTAAGTCCCTTGAGAGCTTAGAAGCAAGTGAGATATTATCCGTGGATGTCCTTTTAGAAATGAATCCAGCTTGCCCTTGGTGGATAATGTGAGGCATGATACACTTCTTCTTGTTAGCAAGAATCTTTGTAATTATTTTGTAGAAAACATTGCAAAGGAAGCAAGACAAAAATTTGAGATATTTGTGGCATGAGAGCATTAACAATAGCCTTAGCACATTTAGGGACCTAGGCAGTGTTGAAGAAGTTCTTGATAGAACTATAAACTTGCAGCCCAATGATATCCTAGAGAGTTTATAGAATTGAAATGTAAATTTGTTAGGCCCGAGGGAAGATGAGGAAGGGGCGGCGAAGACCACTACATTTATTTCCTCATTTATGATTGGGCATATCAAAGGATCAATACGATGAGGGGGAATCATGTTGCTAGGTGGAATGTTGGGGGAGAGGGCATGAATAGGTTTAGGGAAGTTGAAAAGGTTATTAAAGAGCTTAATATGATCTATCCAAGGTTGTTTGTCAGAGCCTTTGCTCGATGATGTTAACCAATATTGGATCTGCTAATGATGTAAGACCTATCCGAGGTTGTATGTCGGAGACTATGCTCGACGACGTTAACCTGTGTGGAAGAGGTCGGGA